TTATTTATTTTTTTTTCAAATAAATGCAGCATTGGTGAGCATAGAAGTTCTTTTAAAAATATTTAAAAATTATTTTAGACTTAGTAGTTAGTAGTCTCCATCCATTACATGTAATTGTGTATTTATTTTTTTTTTTATTCTTCAATTTTTTTTCTTTCTTTTTGGCAGGTTTGAGCACATTTCAACAAAGTGTTGCCATTGATAGACTACGAAGGATTGTGGGTGTTCTACAAAAACCTGACCTTGGGTATATAATTTTATTCTGTTAAACTTTCACCATTGACATTTCTTACTTGTATCCAATACATATAATGCCTTTTGATAAATCCTATTAAATTCCTGCTATACCTCCATAGGGAGAAGTATATGGGCACTCTTCTGCAGCTGGAGATGATGTTAAAGGTTTGGTTCCCTCAGGTGAGGCCTCAGCATTGGGAAGGCACCCCTTTGCTCCACAATCTGCCTCCACGCTGGAATCAGGACCAGCTACATATTCCTGTGAAGGTAAGCGGCTGATATCCACCTTATTTTGCAATGCAGAAGTAAGCTCTTTTCTGTGAATGTGCGAGACTTATGATTCATTAGTTGTTATAGGTAAATAACCAAAGGAATAACATAAGTGCAGTAAATGGTAAAACTAATTGCTCTACATACCAAGGTGTTTATGATTATGATAATACATTTAAATAATATGATAACAAATACCAGTTTGCAATATCAAGCAGCATGATGATAAATGTTAATAAAATTTCTCTTACAGTGTGCAGAGCTGCACGGGTACATCAGACCCCTGTTGGAGCTGTTGAAGGGGCTGAAAACCGGTCGATATGATAAAGGTAATGCACAAAAGAAAAATAAACTACCTTTCAAAAGTTGGGTCATTTATAGTGTTACAAAAAAATCTTATTTTAAATTAAGGCTGTTGTTTCGAACTTTCTTTTCATCATAGAATGCTGAAAAAATGTATCACGGTTTCACTAAACTTTTAAGCGGCACAGCTGTTTTCATTGATTAAAAGATTTTGTGACACTGAAGACTGGAGTAATTTAAAAAGTAATTTATACATGGTTCCCTCAGGTGAGGCCTCAGCATTGGGAAGGCACCCCTTTGCTCCACAATCTGCCTCCACGCTGGAATCAGGACCAGCTACATATTCCTGTGAAGGTAAGCGGCTGATATCCACCTTATTTTGCAATGCAGAAGTAAGCTCTTTTCTGTGAATGTGCGAGACTTATGATTCATTAGTTGTTATAGGTAAATAACCAAAGGAATAACATAAGTGCAGTAAATGGTAAAACTAATTGCTCTACATACCAAGGTGTTTATGATTATGATAATACATTTAAATAATATGATAACAAATACCAGTTTGCAATATCAAGCAGCATAAGCTGTACAGCTAAAATAATGGATGATACCAAAACACACAAGTTACAAATGGCCGCAACTGCTCTTATGTGAACAATAAGGTGGATACTTTTCCAAAATAGAAATGCTTTGAAACAAACCATATGAGAAAAGCTACCAATATGGCCATTATATTGGTTAATGTGTGTCTAAATATGTCTACCACAATCTGGAATGGTTTATTGTTTGTCTTCGATAATATCAAAAGCCTTTTATGTATTAAATGACATCATCTTTTTCTTTCAGAAACGCAGATTAAGTTGGTCAGACTCTGACTCGCAAGGATCTTCAAGCAGCAAACGCATTCAAGAGGACGATCGAGGGCCGAGCCCCAGCGATAGCAGCTCATGGCTTAGCAGCTCTGATACCATGTCTAGCGAACTTGAAGAAGACAGTCCGATCTGTACAAATCAAAATAATATGACATCTGAAACCAAACTCATTGAAAACCGCAAACTTCAAGTCAGGCAAAAGACAAGCACTCTGACTGCAACAGGTAGACCACCTCCGCTTGTAATACCACCGCCAGCCACAGATGGCAGCAGCTTGGGCATGCAGGACTGTTGGGTGTCCTCCACAACTCCTACTTCCGACCCACCAGTAGACACGATGATTAGTAAGAAAGATTTGGGTGAATCTGCAAAAGAAGAAGGGCCAGAAAAACAGATCGACACAGAGATGTTAAACATAATATTTTAAAGTTTCTCATTTTTAAATGAATTAATGAATGAAGCATTTCTCCAGTCTGTTGATATTGGGAACATTTATTCAGTTTTTTGCATTCTGCCACATATATGTACAGCACAGACGTAATCATATGTATGGCATAAGATTCGTGCATGTATGGTTATAGACTGAAGAAAGAAGTGTCTTAAAATACATGCTCGAGCCATACAGTCAACCGGCGAAGCATGCACAGCTATCAAACACTCTACTGCACTGCCTTCCATGATAAACACAGACTTCCAACAATATCTGCTGCTTTATGAACATAAAACCAGGAGGCCAGATATCAGCAGAAGAATGGTCTTGTAAAACGTCCAGAAGTGTGACTGCGATTGCAATCTACCTTAATTTCCTTTGACTTGACTTGAAAACCACTTTGAGCATCAGATGAAATAGAAATGCATTATATGAGAGGATGTTTTAGAGGCAGTTTTATTTATTGCATTATTACTTGAAGATACTGAATTCACTTAAGCAGCCTTAAAGAGTCCGTACCAGTGGGCCGTGGTCCATTATCATAGCTCAATGTTTTATGTTTATGAAGATACAGAAAGAATAATCCCGGGAACAACAGATGGGATGCCTCGTGAAGTGTTATTTTATAATCTGGAGAGTAAATGGTCATTTATTGAAGATGTTTTTTGCCAAAAATAGTTTGCGCATTTATGTTCTGCTTTCATGTTATAAGAGTTCATTTTGCACAATTGTTTCCTTGTACTCACCTTTTTTCCATTTTAGAATTTGTGAATTTCAGCATTGTGACTATTAACCATTCTCTAAAACGAACTAATGTTCAAGTTGATGACAACGAGTATGTGGCGTGTTACACGGAGGAAGACGAGACTTGTGTTTTATTTAGCAATTTGTAGAATATATTCTGACATTAGAGATGCAGTATTTGGTAGTTGCTTCATGAGGAATGAGAAGAACTTTATCGGTATGTTGACTGAGATGCATGTAGTCACGTCCTTGTGCAGCTGTACGAGTATCGTGTGAAAAATACATGCAAGTATATTGTTGGAATTATAATGGAGATTATATTATGAGAGAAAAGTGCATATGAAGATGTGTTGTGATTAATATTTAATGACACTTAACAGCTTTATGTGATTGTGAAGGTAGCATTTTTAGGAAGATGTTTTTTATTGTTACTATTATTTGTTTCAGAAAAGTCAGTCATTGTAGCACCATTGTTATTTTCTATTCATTATTCAAAACCCTTTTCTCTTGTAAGTAATTTCTGTTCTTGCATCAAAGTTTTTGTCAAGGTTGCTGAAATGTTTTCAACATGCTCCACTTTTTGATGTCATTAAATGTTTCCAAGTTTCTTATATTTGAAATGTATTTTTTATTTGTTGTTTTTAGAGGTCAATTATGACAGCCCATACAGGGGAGATATATATATATATATAAATATATAATTTGCATTTCATTTGGAAATCAAGGTCGCAGAGTCTGGAGGAAGAGTGGAGAGGCACAGAAACCATGTTGCTTGAAGTCCAGTGTGAAGTTTCCACAGTCAGTGATGATTTGGGCTGCCATGTCATCTGCTGGTGTTGGTCCACTGTGTTTTCTGAAGTCCACAGTCAACGCAGCCATCTACCAGGAAATTTTAGAGCACTTCATGCTTCCTTCTGCTGACAAGCTTTATGGAGATGCTGATTTCATTTTCCGGCAAGACTTGGCACCTGCCCTCACTGCCAGAGGTACCAAAAGCTGGTTCAATGACCATGGTGTTACTGTGCTTGATTGACCAGCAAACTCGCCTGACTTGAACCCCATAGAGAATCTATGGGGTATTGTAGAGGAAGATGAGAGACACCAGACCCAACAATGCAGATGACCTGAAGGCAGCTGTCAAAGCAACCTGGGCTTCCATTACACCTGAGCAGTGCCACAGGCTGATTGCCTCCATGCCACGCCGCATTGATGCAGTAATTCATGCAAAAGAAGGGCCAACCAAGTATTGAGTGAATAGAAATGAACATACTTTTCAGAAGCCTGACAATTCTGTTTAAAATATCCTTTTTTTTTATTGATCTTATGTAATATTCTAATTTTCTGAGACACTGAATTTTGGGTTTTCATTATCTGTAAGCCATAATCATCAAAATTTCAAGAAATAAAGGCTTGAAATATTTCACTCTATGTGTAATGAATCTATATAATTTATGGGTTTCACTTTCTGAAATGAGTGACAAAAAATATTGACCTTTTTCATGATATTCTAATTTTTTGAGATGTACCTGTATAGGCCAGGAGAAATATATAGGTTGTTTGTATTAACTTAACATTAAAATAATGAAAGTGCTCTTGAAATCTGCTAATATGATCATCATGACTTCGTCAGTAGGACGGGACGGGTAGCCTACACTTGACAGTCTGCCTTTCTCACTTGGGCTCTCTGTCCAGTGTCCGTGACTGACCCCTGCTGGATGTTTGCATGTTTTAGCATTATGAAATATTCATATTTATAAACGCTTCAGAGTGAGTTCAAAAGACCAAAGTTTCTACCTCTGCAATACTGCAAATTTTGTGTTGTATAACACATTTTCTTTGTCTGAGAAAAGTTGGAAGACAAGCAAGAAAGCAAGAGAGAAAAAGAAAAAAGAAAGAGAAAGAAAGAAAGAAAGAAAAAGACTTTTGGCTGTACATGTCTAATGTTGTTATTGTAATATTGAGAATAATGGAGGCTCAGAGTCCCATGATGTTGCCGTATCCACACTTGAACCTGTGAGGGGCAGCACTGCGACCAGAAGACCTGGAAAATGGCGGCTGGAAGTGCGCACAATAGTGGCTCATCGCCGCGCTTGGAGTCCACTTTGGACCGTCGCTTTCAGACTGTATCCAACACAATGGAATCCATTCAGGGACTATCCGTCTGGTGCATCGAGAACAAGAAATATCACAGCGTGATCGTGCGATACTGGATAAAGTGGCTGCGCAAATGTGAGTATTTAGCACGTTAGCCGGCTAATCTGAATCCAGCTGTGATACAACAACCTGTTTACGAGATCAAATTTATGTTAGTTGGGCTTTCAAAATGGACGTATGTGATATTTGTATGAGAAAGTAGCATAGAAGTAATTGTGACAGGCTAGTTTTTATTTTTCGGCCCACTAAACAACTGTTGTGGCTAGTTAGCAAACTGCTAATCTGTTCCTATCCGGTCAAGACGTAGGTCGTGTTTCAAAAGCTAGAGATCTGCCTTCCTAGACAGCATTTTGGCGTCTTCCAAGGCAGCAGTTCTTTTGGGGAACATTATCTTTCAAAGTAGAGGAGTTTGGGGTCAGCGGCATTTTTGGGCCGAATAGGGGGAGTTCTGGGTCAGTTGCTTAGGTGTCATTGTCACGATTCCAGTCAGCAACGTTTTTGGGCAGTAAAGGGGTGTTTGAGGTCAGCAACATTTTTTGGCAGAATGGGACATTAAGGGTGAGTGTCTCTTTTCAGCTAAATGTGAATATTTGGGTCCAGTAGCAACTTTAGAAAGGACAGATGTGCTTTCAGTGAGCAGTATTTTTATGTTCTTGCAGTAAATAGGGGAATTTGTTGTCAGCAGCATTTTGGGGCATAATTAAGGTACATTTTGGGTGTCATAGGTACATTTAGAGGTTTGTGTTTGGTGTCAGCAGCATTTTGGGACAGAATGGGGTGTTTGTGTCAGCTATATTTTGGGTGTCATAGGCATGTTTTGAATGAGCAGCGTTTTTGGGTTCAGCAGCAATTTGGGAAAGAATAAGGCATTTGGGGTCAGCTACATTTTGTGGGTCATAGGTACATTTTGAATGAGCAATGTGTTTGGGAAATAAAAGGGTGTTTGGGGTCAGCAGTTTTTTTTTTTTTTTGCCAAAATAGGGTCGTTCAGAGTCTGTTCAGTGTCATATTTTGAGTGTCATATGCATGTTTTAAATTAACGTTTTTGGGCAATAAATGGTGTTTGGCATCAGCAGTGTTTTTGGGCTAAATGGGGGTGTTTGGAGTCAGCAGTTGTTTTGGACAGAATAGGGCGTTTGGTGTCGGTTACATTTGTCGTAGGCATCTTTTGATCTGCAATATTTTTGAGCAATAAAAGAGTGTTTGGGCATTTAAGGGCAAAATTAGGTTTTTAAGGTCAGCTACATTTTGGGTGTCATAGACAAGTTATTTTTGGGTGTTAAATAGGGTTGCAAAGGGGTGGAAAATGTCCGGAAACTTTCCAAAAATCCCTGTAATATTCAAAAAAATCCTAGAAAGTTTCCAAAATTTCTGGAATGTTTCTGAAATTTACTGGAAATTTTCCACCTTTTTGCAACCCTAGTGTTAAATAGGGTTGGGCGATGTTTTTGAAATTGGCATCGGACAATGTCTACAGTGAAACATCACGATGGATGATGACATGGGGGGGGGGGGGGGGGTGGGGG